CTAAAACATATATCTCTTTGCAGTCTCTTTTCTCCCGTCAGCCATTGACATTTTGAAAGATTTACTGATGAGCTTAAAAATTACAGAACTTCTAAGGTTAGTGATGTGGATGTGCTGGCCTAATTACAAATGTGCAACTGCAGTTAATGCTTTTTCCTTCTACTTTAGGGAGCCGTTAGAAGTCAGAGCTAGAGAGGAAAGGGTTTTACATAATTGTTGTTGACATTAAAAAAGACGTGCAAATAGTGTTTCCAAACAACTTCTCTAAAGTTCAAGAGCTGGTATTACTCATTGAGTGTCTCAGGAAAACCCTTAATAAATTATCTAGTCTAGCTTTCTTTTTTTTTTTTTTTTTTGTAGAGACAGAGTCTCGCCCTGTTGCACGAGCTAGAGTGCCGTGGCATCAACCTACCTCACAGCAACCTCAAACACCTGGGCTTAAGCAATCCTTCTGCCTCAGCCTCCCGAGTAGCTGGGACTACAGGCATGCGCCACCATGCCCGGCTAATTTTTGTTATATATTTTTAGTTGTTCAGATAGTTTCTTTCTATTTTTAGTAGAGACGGGGGTCTCGCTCTTGTTAAGGCTGGTCTCGAACTCCTGACTTTGAGCAATCCTCCCGCCTCGGCCTCCCAGACTGCTAGGATTACAGGCTTGAGCCACCGTGCCCGGCCTAGTCTAGCTTTCTGATCACATAGGTGATTATGTATATTTTTCCAAAGTAGTAAAGGGAAAAAATGGTACCAAGAATTGTTGTAGTTTCTTTAACCTGCTTGTGAGAGTTATTTTGATCTTATAAAATAGATGTTATTTCCCGTCATACAAATGAACAAACTGAGTCTTAGAGAATTATACAGTCAGAAAGTCAAAAAAATCTCAGGTCTAAGATTCTGACCTAGATATGTCCCACCCAAAGCCCATGATTTTTATTCTAGAGTATGTTTCCTTGGGGGAAAAATGTACGTGGGAAAACACATAGCATATTATCCTGTGTCCAAGCCGGTACTGCCCTTTGTCCCAATACAAGTCCAAAGTATTCATAGCCTACAGAGATTTTCATTAGTTCAAATTATATTTTCAAAGAAGAATTTGGTCAGATCTTCCTTAAAGATTCATTATGAAATTGTGAAGTGGATAAACCTCATTTTACAAACAGGCAGCATGAGTTGAAGGCATTTTTTCAGTGTCACCAAAAAAATTTAAGTCAGAGATTTTACTTCATAATTCAGGAATCCCTTCTAGTACATTTGCTCATACTGCTTAGTATTAAAAACATAATGCTTATGTGGATTTTTATAATTTACTATCATATCTTAGTTTTTCTTTTATTATCTAAACTGAATTAAACTCTACCTAATACATAGTAAATCAGTAAATTGACTGCAGCATTTGCCCTGATGGGATTTCAGGCTCATGGTGAGGCACTGGGAAAATTCTGGCTCAATTGTTACTGACATAGGAGGCTTTACAGTTATTTATTAGAAGACAGCCTGGGAGGAAAAGAGAAAATGGATTTATGTGATCCTGTATTGCTAAATATGGCACACTGCTGTTATCTTTTCTTCACTGCTTCCTCTAAGAGTCATCATTTCAATGCACTAATCTTTTAAACAGCCATTCAGTGGGAACTGGGCTAGAACTTTGCTAAGGGGTCACATTCACCAGCCTGACAGTTGTACATTTACAAAAGAAATAGCATGAATTTATTCAGCATCAAAACTTCTGCATCTTTTACCACCCAACCGCATTTCACACTGTATTACCATCAGTGCACTATAATGGCTATATAAATTCCATCCAGATTCTTCATTTAATTAACTAGCATTCTTTGAACAAAAATAAAAGTGCTGTTTTTATAGAGGAATAAAAGCTGCATGAAGTGAGTGTGAAGGAGACAAATCATCAAATTAGTTATTCTTCATTGCAGCTATGGAGAATTTTCTGTCCCTCCTCTTTCTCTTCAGAGGCAATATTTTTTTAAGCCTGATTGAATAGAAAACGGGAAGCTTTTTAACAGCCTCAAATATGTTCGAGTCTGTTATAATGGCCGCATCCTAAGCTCATGCAGGGCTGGGCACTAATGAGACCGTCATCTACAAGTGATTTTTGTTTTAACATTTTCTGTAGTTGGTGAGGTAATATGGTGTAGTAGCCAAGAACATGAACTTTGTCACTAGACTGCCTGGGTTCAAATCCTAGCTCTGCCACTTACTAGGTTCGTGATTCTGAGTAAGTCACTTAAGCTTTCTGTGCACCAATGTCCTATCCATAAAATGTGGATAATAATAGGAGAATAATAATAGACATACCCCACATAGTAGTGTGCAGATTAACCAAGTCGATGCATGTAAAACCCCCAGAACAGTGCTGGCACATGGTAAGCCATTTCCTCCTGTATGCCCAGGAACAGTCCGCTGTGAAGGTGATCCAGCTGTGTCACTGATGACACTCTGGATGACCTGGACTGAACCGACTGATATAGCAGACTAAGTAGACGTCCCTTTCTTTCCCAGATGCTTCTTTTAGAAGGAAATATCTTTTAGGTCTTCCCTTTTATTACAAGGCAATTACTTTCAGATACAAGGAAATAAAGTTCTTTAAATCAAGGGTATAGAATTCAGTTGGTTGGCCACATCTCTCCATCCTGCTGCTGGGTTTAGCTTTCTAAAGCACTTTCTCATGTCATTTTCTGCTCACAAGGCTTCAAGATGTCCGCAGATTTAAGCTCCTTTGCCTGTCATGCCATTTCTACCAGAGCCTGACTCTTTCCCTCCCACTTCCCAACCTTTTTTATCCGTTACTCCCCTATAGGAAGCCTCTCCTCCAGTCAAAATTGGTCTAGTTTTGTTTCTCAAATGTGCCACGTTCCTTCTCGTCTCTCTTCCTTTGTTCACATTGTTCTTTTTGTCTAACATATTCTCCTCTCTTGATCCGTTTATCTAAGTCATACTTCACATTCTAAGCTGAGCCAGAAAAAGGGAAGGTACCTTTTACGTCTTTGTATGTTTGTCACAAAACATGGCTGTCTGGATGCACTAGCTGCTAAATAAATGCTGTTGACGAACTATCCCGTTGGGTCTACATTGAAGCTATATTTGGAATCTAACCACTTCACACTGTCTCCACCACTGTCACCCTTGTTCAAGCCACAATTGATTTTTGCCTGTCCCCTTTCTCTTCTCCCTGCTTCCACCTCTGCCCACTCCATACAGTCTTCTCTCAACACAGCAGCAAAAGTAATCCTTTTAAAATTTAAGCCAGGCCACATCAATTCTCTGCTCAAAACTTCCAATCACTTCCCAGCTCACCCTGAGTAAAACCAAAGTCCTTAAAGTGGCCTACAAATTCCCTTAAGATCTGCCACTCCACTCTGTTCCACCCGCATCTCTACACTTACTCCTGTTACCACTCTGTCCTCATGTCTTCCTACTCTCCTGTTCCTGTCCCCTACTATCTCTACCTCTGCCATCCTGGCCTCCTTGCTGTTCTCTGAAGATGCCAGGCACAATCCCACCTCAGGGCCTTTGCACCAACAGTTCCCTTTGCCCAGAAAGCTCTTCTTGGGCAATCATGACTCCATTCCTCCTGCAGGTCTCTAATCAGATATCTTCTCAATGAGATCTTCACTGATAATCCCTAATTTACTGTCTCCCCAAACTAGAATGTAAATTCTGGGAGGCAAGAGGAAAGATTTTTGTCTACATAGTTCAGTGTCTATTCCCAGTATCTGAAACGGAACCTGACACATAATAAAGACTTAATAAATCATTATGAAATGTATGAATGAAAAACTGACCCTTAAGAATATGTCCATATTCCTAAGCCTCCCAGCACTTCAAATGTATTTAGCTCAAACAAAAGCAAGTGTCCCATAACAGCTCCAGAAAAATTAAAATAGCTATAGTTTAATATTAGCCGTGGCAATTGGAGCAGAAAGTTCTACTGCAGAGAAGAGAGATTTCTGCATCAAGTAAAGAAAAAGAAATGATTTACAGTATAACTGCCATGTTAAATTATATTGTTATGCTATCTTTGACCTAGCACCAAGATACATTTTTTCCTCCCCCCAAGATACATTTTGAGAGAAAAAGTGGTTTTGGCTACTCTATCCTCTTCCCAAGGTGGACAATGTAGTATATGAGGTTTTCTTGTTTTGTTTTGTTTTTTTGCATTCTGTTGTGTTTTGTCTTGTTTTGTTTAGTCATTTAGAGACAGAGTGAAATGGTGGAAAGAGAGCATTAATGTTGGAGTCAGGTAGACCTGGGTTCAAATTCTGGCACTACTGTGTATTCTTGAACAGGCTATGTAACTTCTCTGAATGTCTGTTTGCTTATGTATGAAATGGTTTTTAATAATGCCTTTCTCTCAATGTTTTTCTGAAGATTAAATGACAAAAGACACATGAAATACCTAAGACATAAAATGTGTTTAATAAATGTCTTATAAGCATTGCATCCTACATGTAATGCTATATATTTTGCAACTAAATTCTAACCAAAATGGTAGCAGTTAAACTGATGGCTAGGGGAAAACTTTAGTCCCTGAGGCTTGGTCCACGGAGAAGCCCCACAACGCTATAAATCTATCAGCAGCATGTGATAAAACTCCAAGAGCCTTTTTAGAACATGAACTCTACCACCTACTTGAGTTTTGTCGTAGCCCACCCTTTTTATTTTTTGAGCAAATTGTTATTCTTCTATTTTCCATTTTCAATTCTCTTCTACTTCCCTAATTTTCAAAATGTTATGCTAGGTGTGTGAAGTTAAGAGATTCCATACGGAAAATTATCCAAGAAATCAACAAAGGAAAAAGTAAGATCAAGTAGCTACTTCACATAGTAAAATAACATGAAAATTAATTTTTTAATTGAGAAGTGAAGAACATATGTATATTGATATTTTGGAGTTATAACTTCCAGAATGAGGAAAATATTTTGTGTAAACCACTGTACTATTTTTTACATGTTTTTTCTTAAATGACATTAATTTTTAAATCTTTAGGAAGCCAAAGCTGTAGTTGAAGAATCCAGAGCCCTGCGAAGTCGGATTCATCTTGCCGAAGCGGCACAGAGGCAGGCACACGGCATGGAAATGGACTATGAAGAAGTGATCCGTCTGTTAGAGGGCGAGATTACAGAGCTAAAGGCTCAGCTTGCTGATTATTCCGACCAAAATAAAGTAAGCAAAACAGTCTTCTCTTCTAGTTACCATGGTTTCCTTGCCGTTGTCATGTATCCTGTTTTCATTTTCTTTTCATCTGCACTTCTAAACTAGGTCAGTGTTTGCCTTCTATTATTCAATGATAGGATGATGTGTCGTGATGGGAGTAATGTAAAGGTCCTGAGCCTTCCTTTATCCAGATAGCTGTGGGATGGAAAAAGCGTGTGCCAAAATAGGTCATTGGTCAACGCTGTTAAGCTCCAGCATTAAGTCCTGGAACTAATTTTATATTTAATTGATTACATTGATCTTTTTTCTTTCTGTTTCTGAACTTGCTAATTTGTCTGTGGGAATGGAAGGAGGGGGGTCTAGGGGATGGAGTTTGCTCTTTTATTAGAATACTCAAGGAAGTGTGAAAGCTAAAGAATTTTTGCCTAAGACCCAATATAATCAATGGGAAGAAAGTCTGAATTTCTTTTTTTTTTTTAAATGTAAAGTGTAGTAAATTAGTCTCAAATAGAGCTTCCAATTTCAATAGCAAGATACCGAATGCTTTACACAAGGCAATGTGAACTTTTATGTGAATTTTTTTTACATAATACATACTATATTCATTGAATAGGCTTCAAAAACTGTAACAGACATATATATTTATATTTCACTGACATAAGGAAGAAAATTAAATAAATTGAAATAGATATTTTATAACTTCAGAGTTGTTTACTTATAAACATAATAGGTATCTATATCTCTAATCCAGTCAGTCTTCAAGAGAACATACAGCAAATTTGAATAACTTATGACTGTTTAAACATAAAAGAGTTAAATAATTCAAATATACCAAGTAAAAATGAAACTAGTTTTAGAAATGCAAAATACAGAAGAAAATCTGAAATTTTCTTCGGTTAGCTCTTAAAAGTCACTAACATATTTCTGGCATTGGTTCATTTAAACCAATTTCACAAGAAAGCTGAAGTTTCCATCACACTTTGATAACACCACAAGGCCAAGGGAAAACATTACTTGATAAAGCAGTGATACTTAGGAATATTACATTTTTTTTTATTTTTGACCCAGTTATATATGTGATTATTTTATATAACATTAACCCGATTCTGAAAATATTTTGGGAATTATCAAATATTAAAAGTACTTTTTTATATAATAATTATAGTTACTTTTGAAGGGAAAATCAACCATTTAAATATTATAACTTTAAAGAAGTTCACATGAAATTATTCAGTTTTTAAAGCTTGGGTTATTTGCAGTCTCTCTTGACTAGCTCCCAGCTGAGAAACATTTTTGTCCTAAGTTGCCTGGTTATATAATCAATTCAGTTTTTCTCTTTTTTGGCATAATGGGGGTCTCATGTCATTCTTCTTAATAAGACCCTAAACTAAGCCAGTAACCTGTCTCTGAAAACAATCTTTTTTAAAAGATGTTAGACTTGGGCATCTCAACATTCAACATTTTCCAAACTCAACATCAGTGGAAAAAGAGAAGGAAGCTTTTTTTTAATTGTGTGAGATTGCTTAAAGACACATTGACCAAGATGTTACAGAATTAGGATTCAAATATTTATTTGTAAGACATAGATTCTTTTTGTAACAGTGCTCTTGTTTTTCATTACAATTTTGTCCTTATATTATCTATTTACTTATTTACCTCTTGGGTTTTTTTTAAATTCACCTCTAGCTTAAGAAATAAGACATTACTAATACCTTCGAAGCCACAATTTTCCTTTCCAATTACATCCCACTCCCATACCCTCAAAGGTAACCACTTTCCTGGATTTAGTGTTAACCATTTTCTTGATAATTTTACCACCTATGTATATATCCCTTAACAATGTGTTGTTAGTGTTGCCTGTTTATCAACTTTATATAAATAGAAATATTTGTATCATTCTGACTTGCTTTTTTCACTCAACATTTTGTTTTCTGCAATTCATCCATTGGAAGTTTATAGTTAGTTTATGTCTTTTCATTGCTTCTTTGTACTCTGTTGCTTGCATATACTGCAGTGTAGTTACCATTCTGCATTTGATGGACAGTCCAATTATTTCTGTTCTCTTTTGTTATGAATGGTGTTGCCAAAAATATTTTTGTACATATATCCTGCTCCACATGTGTAACATTTACCTGCTAGGAGTAGAATTGCTAGGTTGAATGATAATTGTATGTTTGACTTTACCAGGTAATGCCTACTTGTGATTAAAAGCGTTTGAATCAATTTGTACTCCACCAGTAATGAATGAGAATTATTGTTTACCCTGCATACTTGCTGACCCTTTATCTTATTTTACTTTTAATATCTGTCAATCTGGTTGGTGTAATAAGTGTTATATCATTGTATTTTAATTTAAATTTCCCTGATTACTAACGATTTTGAGACAGTGATGTGCTGCGACCAGTTGCCACTAGCTTATGAGAGCTGATTGCATGCATCACTTTTCAGCTCCATGTTCAGTGACATCAGGTTGGTAGCCTGAAATTAGCCATAGTGGGGTTACCCCCAAATGCCATAAACCAAGGCTCCCTGCTGCATAGCCAGTTGAGTGTATATTTATGTATTTATTAGGCATTTATTTCTCTGTGAAGTGTCTCTTCATAGCTTTGACCATTTTTCCATTGTATTATTTGTCTTTTTCGTATAGATGTATAGTGATTCTTCTGGTTACTAATCCTTTATTAAGTTATACTTTATAAAAGTCTTCTTCCAAATTTGTGGCTTGCCTTTTCACTCTATGGTGAAATGGACAGGCGTTCTTAATTTTCATATAGTCAGACTCAAAAATCTTTTCTCTCATGTGTCTTCTTAGAAGTCTTTCCATTTCCAAGGATATAAAGATATTCTTTTATATTTACCTCTAAAAGTTTTAAGTTTTAATCCTCCTGTAATTGATTTTGTGCCTCTGTATGAGGTAGGGATCCTTTTCATTCTTTCTTTATTCTAAATGAATAACCAACTATCCATCACCATTTACTAAAAAGCTCCTTCTTTCCTAACTGATCTACAAAATCAGCTGTCATATATCAGGATTCCATGTGTATGTGGATTTGTTTGAAGTTCTCTATTCTTTTGCATTGGTCTATGTATATTCCTTTGCAAAAACCACACTGTGTTGCTTACCATATCTTTTATGGTAATTCTTGATGTCTGATCATCCTGCCTGTTCTTTCTTTTGAAAATGTGTTGGCTACATAACCTTTGATCTTTTATTATCTATTTTAGACTCATCTCATCAATTCTACCAAAAGAAAAAAAAAAAACTATTGAAATTTTTACTGAAAATTTATTAAATATACAGATTAATTTGGGAAGAATTTACATATTATAAATTATGGAATTTACATTATGATTGTCTTTATATATGAACACTGAGGCACAGAAAGGTTAATTGCATTGTGGCCAGAGAATCTAGTTTATAGAACTAACACTCTTCAAAATTTGTTGATGCTTACTTCATGGCTTACTGTGTAGTTGGTATTCACAAATGTTTAAAGTGAAATTCTGCACCTGTTAGATGCTGTTGTTTTGTATAGTCCACTAGATCAGGGCCATTAATTTGGGGGCTCAATTCTTCTCTATTCATATTAATTTTTTTGTCTGCTTGAGCCATCATTTACTCAGGGAAGTATGTTAAAATCTCCCTTTTGGTTTCCTTTTTTTCCACTTTTCCTTCACTTACATTTCAATTTTTATCTTTCTTGTTCATTATGAGAAATTTCTTTACCTCTGTCTTCTAGTTCACCCATTCTCTTTTCAACTATATCTAATTTCATATTAAATCTATAAATCAAGTTTCTGATTTAGTTATCTTACATTTTATTTTTGAGATTGATTTTTTATATTATCAGGATCTGTTTTGATAGTTTTTTTGCCTTTATTATACTTTTAATTCCTTCTTAATTTTTAAAACATTGTAAACATAATTAGTTTATACTCTCTTATCACTCCAATATCTGCTGTCTTTATAGGTCTGATCCTGTAATTTGTTTCCTTCACCTGACTTTTACTCACGGAGCTTATTTCCTCATGTGTTGGTTATTTTTTTTTATTGTGAGGTCATGTTCTTTTGACATTACATATGGGAATTAGTTGAGATCTGAGTTTAAAAATATCTCTCCAAAGAATCTGTCTGTTTACTTCTACTAGCTTGGGACTAATTTAAACTAAACTTCCAGCTTATGGATTTTCAGACCACACAGGTAATAAAAATTCTGGCCCTAAACTTGCATGAGTGGAGTCTTGTGGTTAGGAATTAGTAAGTAGACACTTTTTTTTACTCACTCACTAGGGCCAAAATCAAAACACTATTTACCTTTGTTCAGTTTATTTCTTCCTAGTTCACCCATTAAAGTTCTTTTGTTTGCCATTTGTGCCTGATCAAACCCCAAATTATAGGCCACAGGGATCAGAGCAAATTATGCTTCAGCCCTCTCTTATCACAGTGGGTTCACCCAGCATTGCTGTTGCTTATCTCCATGGAATTCCTTTACTTCCCTGCCAGCTTCATTTTAATTGGATTATATTGCATTATATGTGTGTGTGTGTGTGTGTTTAGTTGTGCTATACTAATAGGGGTTTCTGTCAGCATCTGGTAAGATATATTGCTCCAAAAAATTGTGAAGTAATTTAAATGTATTTACTGTAAGAATCAATACAATCATATGCAGCTTATCTCATAAAACTTGCAGCATCCTTGCCTCATGCGAATTAACTTTTAAATATGCAATTAGTTACATGCTTCCCAAAATCAAAGATATGTCCAGTAAGAGAGAAAATACATGATGTGGTAATGTTGAATATTAGTTTATAAAAATTGAATAGGGACCAGTAATATAAAATCGAAGCAATGTGTAAGATGCTCTTTTTGATATCTGTCTAGGAAAATGTTCAGGATTTAAGAAAGAGAATAACAGTACTTGACTGCCAATTGCGAAAATCAGAAATGGCTCGAAAAACCTTTGAGGAATCCACTGAAAAACTTCTTCATTTTGTAGAGGTAAGTTTTTCTATTATATTACATTATGCCCACTTTTAAGAAATATAGGCAACTGATATATACATAAACATCATGATGTTTGGTGGCTAGTGAAACATCTTCTGGTCTCAAAATAGCAATGCTAACTTATAGTCAGATTTTAAATTGCTTGGATGATGAAGAGACCAGCTGACATTATGTAGATTGTTAAGAGAAATAATTGAGACAGGATAACATGATCCCAAATATATACTATGTTTTAATGAATATTTTCCTAAAAATCTTGATACTGTATAAACATTATTTGAGAAATATAAAGAAATGTTTTTATAGCTATAATATTTCTGAGTAGAATTGCATGTTAATATAACTAATTCCCCTGCCCCCACATAACAGAAACATCTGTTTAATCAATGGGGAGAGGAGATTGTTAATTAAGCAAATAAAGACATTTTTTTAAAAACTATCAAACTTATATATCTCCTTCACCATCTTGTGTGTTGCTAGGCTATTCAAGAAATATTTTCTGAGAATTCTGCTCCCTTATCAAACTTAAGGTAAGAATATTTAAGTGCTTTCTGCAGATTATGGCCATTGATTAAATTCTCCATGTGACAATTGTGACTAAAGTACTAAAAATCTCTCAAATAGTCTTAAGGTGCTGCATAACTCCCATTGGATGTTATTGTTTAATATCTTGTGGAAATAGGTGCAAGAACACATTGTTTTTGGTCCCATCTCTATAAAAGAAATTCCTGGAGATACTTAGCCAATCATTGTACCTGTACTCTAAAATTGAGGTAGGAGTCACCTATCCTGTCTTTGTTAAGAATTTTGTAAGGATGAGATTAACTTGAAGTTCTTTATGCAGTGGGTGCATGAATAAATGTTACTAGTCACAAATTCACTGCTAAAGGTCAGTCTCAACCCAGCAGATTAATTGTTAGGGCACACAGAATTTTGTAAAACATATTCATGCAATCAGTTTCTTTCATTTTTATCATTCAGCAGATATAAATAAAAGATACATACTTGGATAGTAGTACACCTTGATTTTCTTATTATTCACAATATGTTTCAGACTTTAAGTTTCTTATTAGAAGTTATAAACATACTAATCAGATTTATTTATTTCAAACCACAAGTTTATGGTCATTTTGATACATGATGAAAGACATATACAAAAGGAAGATTCTTGTCTATGCATTTTCAAAGTAATTTTTTCCTCACCTTATAATAGCTGCCACTAGTTCTAGATGTCTTCTACTTCTAACAGTATATGTTTACAGAAACATAGGAAAAAACTATACCCTTTACTGTGAAAATAGTAGTTTATTAAATGAAATAAATGAAGATCTTTTAGATGTCCACACAGCATTTTTTTAATTTAGAAGAACTATAGTTGTTCACTTTTATGCTCATTTTAATGTAATGTTTTATTTCTTATAATGAAGGAATCTGAGGTTTCTTATTGTTATCCATCTGCTTATGATACAAGATAATTATGTGAATTCCATGATTACTATTTTCAGTAATGATCTTAAAATAATAATCATATTTCACTTATATGAGGTTAAGTGTGTCCCCCACCCCACCCCCCCAAGGTCTCATTTTGACCTTGACTAAGAATTCAAAAGTATTCAACGTTAAAAATGATTATGTAAAAGCCAAAGCCTACCCTTGCCTTAAACTGCTTCATGGAAAAAAAAGGCAACTTTAAATAGCTACATTAAGCAACTTTTCACCATGTCTTAGAAAATTAAACACTAGTAAAAGCTGGTCCAATCTACTTAATATACCATATATTTTCTATATAGATGTTGGCCTTGATCATTCAACACAGAGTAAAGGCTGTGTATTTATTTGAGTTTGAAAATTGATGCTTTAGTTTCTCCTTGTGAATTAATGCATCATGCTTAAGAAGATGGAGTATAAATAATGATGGTTTTATCAGTTTAAAATTGTCTCTTTTCAAATAAAGTTGTAGTATAGTGGTTTTTTGAGGAAAACTTTGCCTTTTAATTATATCAGAATGCATTCATTTGAGGTGACATTTGCATTTTTTAAAAAGTGATATAAATGTCCTAGGCTGTTTCAGATTTAGGGGCAACAAATGGAAGACTTTAAGAGATAATTAACTTCAGGAACAAATATATATATTGAATTTATATTTAATATTACTAGAAGGAATAGTAAATGTCTGTTTAATAAATTTGTATTTATATGCTTAATTTGAATTTCTACAAAACTAAATTAAGGTTACATCATGTTAGCAAAACACAAGTGCTCACAAAATGAGCCCAGTGATTTAGGAGGTGGGCTATCCTTCTATTACTTGATCCTTATATATGAAGTCAATCTAATTTTTAAAAGATGCCTGTTTGTTATGTAATAATGAATTAAAAACAGAAATATTATTTTATAGGAATGAATTCATGTATGACTATAAGAATTATAAAGTTCCCAGAAATAGAAATATTTTTGTACAGATTTATAAGTAATATGAATTCAGATTTAGCAAAGATAAATGTTGTTTGTTGTACAAGTTCAACTTTATGTTATTGCCCTCACAGTGAAAGAAGAGCTATGTTAGCTTCTAAAACTTCCCTCACATCACTGGGAAGGAATGGACGTAACATCCCAGCAACCCTGGCGCTTGAATCTAAGGAACTTGTTAAATCTGTTCGTGCCGTACTTGATATGGATTGTAAGTTTTCTGTATTTTTTTCACTTTTTTTGGATAATTCATTTAACAAAACAGAAGAAGAAAATTTTAAGTCTGACAATTTAATTTCATTAAATGTATTGGTTTGCCTGTAGTAAAATCGATAGCTGGTTGATAGAAATCTTAATGCACCAATCGTAGGGGGAGAATGTTTGCTTTATTTAAAGTGCCCAAAATGGCTTCCAACTGAAAATAGCTGATTAAGACATGTCTTTACCTCTATTTCCATCCAAAGATTCTTTGAAATGGAAGAATAAATATAAAAAAAAATCCAACAACCCCATCAACAAATGGGCAAGCGAAATGAACAGAAACTTTTCAAAAGAAGACAGAATAATGGCCAGCAAACATATAAAACTCTTACAAATCAAGGACAAAAAGATCACTATGGCAGAAAGATGGACAAAGGAATTGAACAATTTAAAAAAGGGCCAAAAACAATAAAAAGAA